CCTGCAGCCGGCCTCATGACAGCCCGGGCGGCCACTGCCACGCGAGGACGGGCCAGGGCACCGGGGCGGGCGGGGGGTCGCCACCCACGTGACAGCGGCGCGCCCGCGGAAGGGACCTGCCCAGGGTCACCATGCCTGGCCGGCAGAGACCCCTTATAAAACACTTGACTTTTACCCAAAGTAAGGATGAATGAATACGGTCTACAAATGGGATTGTAGGTGGATTTTAGCAAATAACCAGGTTAGCAGATTTTACAACATCATAGGCTTGATAGTGCGCAGAATGTCGAGTTCGGGGCAAAGAACCCTTTGCCTGTCTTTGACACACTGGGATAGCACTTGTCAAGGGTCAAGCGGAGTCTACCATGATGAATACATCTCTAAGAAGTTGTTGAAAGCCTGATTTTTCCGGACGCTCTTTAAGGGGAACCTTCTTCCCTTTAAAGCAGTAAATTTGGTGCATACTTCCTGGGTCTGGAGCGCAAGGAGCGGAGGGGTGGGGTCTTGCCCTGGCCGTCCCATGGGCCCATTTGCAGCCCCTCCTGACGTCTTGCACACTCTGCACCTTTGACCCGGGTCCTGGAGACTCCCCAGACAAGACAAGCTTGCCCTCCACTCCGTGAGCCCGTCTTGTGGCCTGTTCTTCATGAGGTCTGTTTGCATGCAGGACTTTTCTCCTAGAGAGTGAGAACCACCTCCAACGTTTTCTGCATCCCAGTCGTACCTTTTCTGTGATCGGTGTTCACGAACGGCTCTGAGTGAACTGTTGTTCAGCTGTTCAGTCGTTCATTTGTGGGAAAAATACTTAGCCTCTGCGGTGGGAAGGCCCTCCTTTAGAAGCTGGGAGCACACCAGGCAATAACAGACCCTGCCGGGGATACAAACCACAGAAGCAGCAAACAGACAGAGTCATTGCAGCGGATCAGTGCTGGGACGCTCGCCACAGGAGCTGACAGGGCCTGCTTGGGATGTGCGGGTTGGGGAGGCTGAGAGGAGCCAGGCATGCAGGATTGGCAGGCGAGTGCAGGCAGAGGGGGCAGAGCTGGCTGCCTCCCGGGACTACCTAGGAGGCCATGTGCTGGAGTGTAATAAGGAGGGGGATAAGGTATGATGAGAAGTTTGGATTGCCTCTGTTCCCAGGCACTGGGGACCCTGGAATGAAAGCGGTGGAGGAAAAAAGGCCAACTCAGCTGTTCCCTACAGCGTCCCTGAGCTAGAGCCATCTCGTCGTCAACACCACCACCATCACCGCTGTAGCTGTGTCAACCACAGCACTCAGTTACTGAGGTCTACCACCAGCTGGATTGTTGGTACCTTTGAAGGATCACCTCACTTAATTCTTACCACCCTGCTATGTGCTGTTAGCTGTGTCAAGTTGGCCCCCGACTCATGGTGACCCCAGTCACAACAGAACGAAAGGCTGCCCAGTCCTGCACCATCTCCACGACTGGTTGCAGAGACCACTGTGATCGGTAGGGCTTTCATTGGCTGATTCTGGACGTAGATGGCAGGCTTTTCTTCCTAGTCCATCTCAGTCTGGAAACTCCACTGAAACCTGTTCAGCATTATAGCAACACACAAGCCTCCTCTGATGGATGGTGGCTGTGCATGAGGTGCCTTGGCCAGGAATCGAACCTGGGTCTCCTGCATGGAAGGTGAGAATTCTACCACGGGACCACCAATGTCCCCCTCCCTGCAGTATAGGCACAATTATTACTGTCTTTGTTTTCTAGGTGTGGGAGTGAAGGTGAAAGATGTGAAAAAACAAACACCTCGGCAAAACCAGCCAGCTGGTGAGGAGCAGAACTGCATATTGCACCAGGCTGTGCTCCAAGGCCTCCCTGGTCAGCCCTGTCCCCTCATGCTCAGAAGACTGAGAACAAAGAGGGGAAGGCCCTTGTTTCAGACAACATACTTCTTCTCTTGGATCATGTGTTTCCTCCTCTTTCCCACTTGCTGACCCCTTGGTCCAGCTGGTATCTCCTCTTACCGAGGCTGGGCTCCAGGCTGGTGCCTGGCCTCTCCTGCCTCCCCACCCCCACCTGACTGTTCCTCAGGACCCCTGATGCCCTTCTGAGGTTCCTTTTGAAGGGGGACATTTTGATTGTATAGTTGCAATCACTTCTCTCTTTTCTTGTGAACAGGCTCCAGAGAGGGACAGGCAGACAGAGGGCCAAAGGCTCTCGACACCTTCACTGCCCCAGCCGGCTGCGGAGAAGAGCTCCTACCTGTACTCCACTGAGATCACACTCTGGACTGTGGTGGCCGCCATCCAGGCCTTGGAGAAGAAGGTGGACTCCTGCCTGGCCCGCTTGCTGACTCTGGAGGGGCGCACAGGGACGGCCGAGAAGAAGCTAGCCGACTGTAAGAAGACCACCTTGGAGTTTGGGAACCAGCTGGAGGGCAAGTGGGCCGTGCTGGGGACGCTGCTGCAGGAGTATGGGCTGCTGCAGCAGCGGCTGGAGAACATGGAGAACCTGCTTCGCAACAGGAACTTCTGGGTCCTGCGGCTGCCCCCGGGGAGCAAGGGCGAGGTGCCCAAGGTCAGCTCGTGGGCATCCTAGGGTGGGGGAGCCAGAGCGGCCGAGCCCGTAAGTGTGTATGTGAGCACGTGTGGCACTTGTGGTTCCAGGTGCCTGTGACTTTTGATGATGTGGCCGTGTATTTCTCTGAGCCGGAGTGGGGACAGCTGGACGAGTGGCAGAAGGAACTCTACAAGCATGTGATGAGGGGCAACTACGAGACACTGGTCTCCCTGGGTGAGGCTGGGTCATGGGACTGGGGCCTCTTTCCACAGCTTGGCCTCTGCGTTCTCTGCTTTGCTCTGGCTTCTGTTACTTGGGGGCTTCTCTGCATCAATTTGGGCAGCTGGGCCTGGTCCTGATCTAGATTCTTCCCCTTCTGTACACAGACTATGCCATCTCCAAGCCTGACATCCTCACCCAGATAGAGAGGGGAGAGGAGCCTTGTTGTGATGGCCAATGGGGCCAAGAGAAGCAGAAGGAGATGGTTCACCCAAGGAAGCTGGGATCTGGTGAGTATGGGAGCAGGTGGGGAGAGTTCAGGAGCACACTGAGCAGTGGCCCTGGCCCACCTGGGCTTCCAGATGTTCCATGAAGCCCCTCTGACAGCCCTGGCAGGTCAGGAAGGGAGCACTGGCCCCTAACCCACAGTGGTGCTTACCCTGACCAAGGCCATCCCAGTCAGGGTGGGCACGGGGCTTTGCCTTATAGTTTGGTTTCTCTATCTGCGTGGGGGTTGTGACACTCACCTCTCATGGTTGTTGAGGATTAGTGAGATGGTGAAAGTAGAAAATACGTGAAAGTAGAGAGAATAGCAACTGAGCTTCCAAATGGGCATCATCAGACTGGACAGTGGTCAAGATTTTGCCACACTTGCTTCATCCATTTTTTCTTTTTTGAAAACATAACCACAATACAATTATCACACCCAACAGACTGTCATCTCACATCTAGTCCATATCTCAAAAATGTTTTCTTTGTGGATCCTAATTCTAACAAACCAATGTTCACATTATAGTTGGTTTATGTCTCTTAAGTCTCTTTACAGAAGCCTGTTCCTTTTTAACAGCTTTATTGAGATATAATTCACCTACCATACAGTTAACCCATTTAAAGTGTATAGTTCAGTATTTTTCAGTATATTCACAGATGTGTGCAACAGTCACCACAATCTTAGATCATTTTCGTCACCTGTATCCACCCCTTTTGTCTATGGATTTGCTTATACCGTGTATTTCATGTGAATGGAATCACGATATTTGTCCCTTTGTATCTGGCACCTTTCACACAGCTTCATCTTTTCAAGGTTCATCCGTGTTGTAACACGTATCAGAGCTTCATTTCTCCTCATGGCTGCATAAGGTTCCATTTTACGCATAGACCACTTTTGTTTATCCATTCGTCTGTGAACGGACCCTCCACCCCCTTTTTAATGTCATTTATTTATTGAAATTTGTAATGTCTTTTTTCATGCCATCATGTCCCACATTCTGGATTTGGTGTCATTTACCATGTTCTTCTATTTCCTGTAGACTGGCGGGTAGATCTAGAGGCTTATTTAGATTCATTTTTTTGGCCGACTGCTTCAGAGGTAGCGCTGTATACTCCCTGCTCGATCACAGCAGGGGGCACAGAAGGTCTGGTTGTCTTTCTTTTCTGATTCTAGGACTGCTTGGTGGGCTCAGGTGTTACTAGCCTTATCCTCCTATTAAAAGTTCCCACCAGCTTTTCACTTCGTGATTTTAATAGCCCTTAAAGGTTGTTGCCTAGATTCATTATTAAAGGTTGCAGAATGATGAGATTCTCTCATTACTTCTGTGCTCACTAGCTGGAGTTCTTTTATAAGGAATAATTTCCCTGATAACTCTTTTGTTACGCTGAAATACAGTCTGTACAGAAAGGACAGGATAGGTACCTAATTCTTTCCTTTTACTGTTTTCAGAATGGTGAGTTGGCGCCTTAACAGCCAACAAGGGTGACCGGTGACTTGGAATTTTTTTTTTTGTTTTTTGAGTATCATTAAGCTCACAGATTGTTGAGTATATTATGTGCCAGTCCTTGCAGCCATTGCTTTTCATGCCTTTAGCTAGTAGGAGTCCCTTCAAGTTGACCTATAGATCATTAAAAAAATTTTTTTTAGAAAATATTAATGGGGTAAAATATATATAACAAAACATTTGCCATTTTAACCATTGTTAAGTGCAGAATTCAGTGGCATTAATTACACTCACCATGTTGTGCTACCTTCACCAGTTTCCAAATGTTTTCATCCTTCACAGAAATGCAGCGCTCCTGAAGCAGTAACTCCCCAGTGCTGCGCCCTCCCCTGCTAAGTGCTGACATCCTTTGGTCTCTGTATGTGTCCCTATTCTAGATGCGCCGTAGACGTGGAATCCCAAGATTTGTCCTTTCGCATCTCACTCTTTTCACCCAGCATCATGTTGTTAAGGTTCATCCACGTTGTAGCGCGTATTAGACCTTCATTTCTCTTTACGGCCAAGTCATATTAATTAGACCTTCGTTTCTCTTTACGGCCAAGTCATATTGTGTGTGGCTCAATCAGATACACTTTTTCTGACATCAACTGAGGATAAATACAAAATCTCCACCTTCACTTCTCTGTTTTGACACCAGCTGCACGTGTGGCACTTCTTCCTCTGACCGTAACCACTCAGAGTGAGGTCAGAGCTCACACGGTTAAGGACATGGTCCTCCAGTCTGCCAGGTAAGCCCGAGACTTCACATGTCGGCCACGAGCTCAGGTCTGGTGACTCTTCTCAATTCTGACCTGCTGGCTTCCGCTACTCCCTCAGGGTCCATAATTCACTGGGATGATTCACAAAACTCACTGAAAGTGTGCTCCACGCTATACTTATGATTACAGTTTTATTACCCCAAAAAGGATATAAATGAAGAGATGCCTAGGACAAGGTCTGGAAGGGTTCCCACCCAAAGCTTTCGCGTCACCCTCCCGAGAGCATACGTCTTTCACCAACCAGGAAGCTAACGGATATTCAGTATCTACAGCTTTTATTAGGATTTTTCCATGTCGTATAAGGTGATCATCATGAGGTGGTCGTCATGAGGTGGGTTTCTCTGGTCAGCCCCCACCCCAGAGTCACCTCACCAGCATAACCTGTCAAGTCTGGGGTCCTTATCAAAATGCCAAGGTTCTAGAGATTATCTCTCAGGAACCAAGGGTAAAAAACAAATTTTTGAGGTAGAGTTAAAATTCTAAACCCCAGATATTCCATTGGATGTATATATCACATTTTGTTTCTCCATTCATCTGTTGATGGACATTTAGGTGGTTTTTGCCTTTTGGCTATTATGAATAGTCCTGCTGTGAACACTGGTGTACAAGTATTTGTTTGTGTTCCTGCTTTCAATTCTTTTGGGTATATACCTAGGAGTGGAATTTCTGGGTCATATGGTACAGTGGTTAAGTGTTTGGCTGCTAACCAAAAGGTCAGCAGTTCAAATCCACCAGCTGCTCCTTGGAAACCCTGTGGGGTAGTTCTCTCTCCTGTAGGGTCCTTATGAGTCAGAATTGACTCGATGGCAGTGGGTTTTTATGGCAATTCTATGTTTAACTTTTTGAGGAACGACCAAACTGTTTTCCAAGTGGCTGCACCATTTTACAATCCCATCAGCAATGGATAAGGGTTCCCGTTTCTCCACATCCTTGCCAATACCTGCTCTTTCCATTCTTCTGATCATAGCAATCCTAGTAGGGGTGAAGTGGTATCTCATTGCGGTTTGGATTTGCACTTCCCTGATGACTAAGGAACATCTTTGCCTGTGCTTATTGGCCATTTGTATTTCTTCTTTGGAGAAATGTCTTTTCAAGTCCTTTGTCTGTTTTTTTTAAAAATTATGTTGTCTTTGTGTTGCTAAGTTGTAGGAGTTCTTTATATAATCTAAATATTAAACCCTTATCCTATGTTTGGTTCCTAAATGTTTTCTCCCAAATAGGTTGTCTCTTCACTTTGTTGACAGTCCTTTGATGCACAAAAGTTTTAAATTTTGATGAAGTCTAGTTTATGTCTTTTGTCTTTTATTGCTCATGCTTTTGGTGCCATATCTAAGAACCATTGTCAAAAACTGGATCCTGAAGCATTACCCCTATGTTTTCTTCTATGAATTTTATGGTTTTAGTTCTTATATTTAGGTCCTTAATGCATTTTTGAGTTAATTTTTGTATGTGGTCTGAGGTACAGATCCAGGTTCATTATTTTTATTTTTCCAAATTTTATTTATTTTTTTGTTACGGTTGAGATATACCCAGCAAAACATACATCAGTTCAACAGTGTCTACATGTACCATTTAGGGACATTGATTACATTCTTCGAATTGTACAGCCATGCCCAGCTTCCTTTTCTGAGTTGTTCTGTCCTCATTAACATAAACTCACTGCCCCCTAAGGTTCCTATCTAATCTTTCAAGATGCTGTTGTCACTTTCATCCCATATAGATAGTTCTTAAAAGAGCACAATGCTCAAGGCAGAACTTTTTTTTACGAATTAAACTCTTGTTAGGTTTTTAAGATGACTTCAGGGGGATATTTTTGGTTTAAGGTTTAAAGATTATCTCAGGGCAATAGTTTCAGGGGTCATCCATCCTTCATGACTCCAGAAAGCCTAGAGTCCATGAGAATTTGAAATTCTGTTCTGCATTTTCCTCCTTTTGATCAGGATTCTCCTATGGAATCTTTGATCAAAATGTTCAGTAATCGTAGGCTGGGCACCATCCAGTTTTTCTGGTATCATGGCAAAGGAAGCAGTTGTTCATGGAGGCCATTAGCCACACATTTCATATCCTCCTCCTATTCCCAACTCTCCTTCTTCCTCTTTTGCTCCAGGTGAATAGGGACCGCTTGTGCCTTGGATGGCTGCTTGCAAACTTTTAAGAGCCCAGGCACTATGCAACGAGCTAGGAGGAAGAACAGAAGCACTAAACAAGTTACTAGGCCAGTTAACTGGGACGTCCCATGAAGCTATGACCCTAAACCTCCAAACCAAGGAACCAAATCCAGTGAGGTGTTTGGTTGTACATAAGCAGGCTCAGCAGCTACTCTTGGTTTGTTTGTTTGTTTTTTTTGTCATTGTTGTAAATATATCTATCACACAACTTTTGCCAGCTCAACTTTTTAGAAGTGTACAACTTGTTGACAGCAATTACAATAATCAGCTATGCAACTCTACACTTAACCAGTGCAATTTTTCTGTCACTGTTAACCCCCCTCTTTCCCTTCCCTCCCACCCCTGGTAACCACTAATAAACTGTGGTCTCTGTACATTTGCCTTTTCTTGTCTTTTTATGTAAGTAAGGTTATACAATATTTGTCCTTTAGTGATTGACTTGTTTCACTCAACATAATCTCTTCAAGCTTCATCCATACTGTAGCATGTATCAAGACTTCATTTCTTCTACTAGCTGAGTAGGATTCTGTTGCATATATGTGCCACATTTTGTTTATCCATTCATTTGCTGATGGGCATTTAGGTTGTT